AAAGTGAAACTGCACAATGAAATTGACGCACGATTCCAGGAAGGGGTCATGTTTGAGTAAATAAAGGCTTCAATCGCCGAGCAGAAATCTAGAGAATCCTTGCTGCCAATCTGGATTAGTGAAACCACAAGCATGGTGAGCTTTACTTGTTGCTTCACAGCTCGTGCGTTCTGTGTTTCTTTCAATGGCTTTTCGTATGCTTCCAGAGTGTACCAGTTCTTCTCTGTGGAGCTCGAGGCGGGTCTCAGAGACGGATATTTAAGAGGTGTTTCACTAGCCTTGGGCAAATGAATGACATCTGTCAGGGCATCCCTTGCTACTCTTTTCCTTAAGGGCTTCTCACGGCACCCTATTCTGAAAAGCCGGCGCACGGAATAGCGCGAGTGGTGCAACGCTGTCCCATCCGCATCTTCGCCACCCGATAAAGAACTGCCCTGGTTTAATAACTCTAAAAGAATGCCCAGCTCCATGGAAGAACTAGCAGTGATGCCGCCTGCAGAAGGCTCCTTTCCATGATCTTCCCCACTAGAAACTCCTACAGGCTGCTCTGCTGCAGTTGCCTCTCCAACAGAGAAGTTGCCTGACGCTGGCAAATCGATGAGCGCATCTTGTAGAATTGAAGCACGTTGCACAAGCCCTCCTCCATCTGAAGTAACCAATTTATCTCCTGCCGTGTCAATGAAATGAGCGAGTGGCTCTACTACGCCTCCACGCAAGCTCCCCTCATCACAATCTCGTTGCCTCATACGCTCGCCAAAATTTTCCTGTTCGTCCCCTGAAAGTAATGTAGACGAGCTACGGACGCGAATCGCTGCAAGTGGCAGTAACCCGGCGCCTTCCATCACCTCTACGTGCTGTCGAGATGCATCTACTATGTCCTGTGCCTCTGTTTCAAAGAAAGAAGCATTTTCGAACACAGAATCTTGTGTTGTTGGCTCATTGCACCCCATTGACGGCGATACTGATGACTGCACTTCCAAGCTGGGGAGGTGCATGATTGCTTGGGCGCTCAAATCAACCTTCGAGTCTCCGTTGGGAAAAACATCATGGTTGTCCACTAACGGTTCTTCTCTGTGTCTATTTGGCTTCTTCGGCTGCAGCACTTTCAGCCGAGACTTCATGATGGCTTTTCCCCATGCAGATGGGTGCATGGTTTCTGCTTTTGAAGGCTGATAATGGTCAGCCTGGAAAAAGCTTCCAGGTTGATATGACTGTTTGAAGCTCACTCGCCTTCCTCCATTCTGCTGGCGAGGAATTCGAGAATGAGCCTCAGCGCCAAAAACACCCTCTATGCTTGCTTGCGACGTCTCTTTGTCAGCTGTCTCAGTAGTCCGTTCACCACTGTTCCAAGTCTCCTGATCATCCGACTGAAACACGCCTGTGCTGTGAAGAAGCCCGTGTGCATTTTGCACAAGTTCAGTGCTTTTTGATGGCTTACGAGTCAGTGGTCCGTGGCCCAAAGAGCTGCGCACCCTAACCCCTTCCATAAGCTCTCGCAACCGGTTGAGACGCTGGCTGGCCAGGGTCACCTTCTCGTTGTAAGCCGTGCAAGGCCTCATGGATCGACTCAGTGAAAGCACTGCTCCTCCCTCCCGGCAAACAAGGATAGCAATTCTAAAAGACTGCCGGACTTCTGCAATGTTGGTCAGTAGAGCCCTTGCCCGCCTAGCAACAGACAAGTCCATGGCTTTCACTATTAAAGACACCTGCTTAGCTGCCCCCACAAGGTGCATGTTGGCTTGAAGTAACGCCATCTGCAGTCTTGCCATTTCTGGCATGGTGTTGATGCGGGGCTCCGGGCATAACCAGTACGGCTCTCTCCCGCTTTCCACAATCCGCGCCCTCAAGGCGGATTGTGACCCAAGAATCTGCAGCAGGGGAGCAACTGCTTTCGTCAACACTGCTGCAGCGTCTTCCATTTCAGTCTTCAAAGCCCGGAAACTCTCCACGTTTGCCGTTTCTGCGCAAAGTAAATGAGGCACAATAAAGAGAGGCTCCACAGGGAGCAGATAGTACGTTTGCTTGCAGCCCAAATGTTTGCCATCCATCTTTCGCATTGTCATCCATTCCCTCTTTGTACTACCCAAGCCACGGCCTATTCTACACACCAGTTGGCAGCCTTGCTTTGGAGCAGCAAAGCTACAATTTAAATTCATTCTGGATACAACAACACCGCACATCAAAATTAGCTAATGCAGCGCTTGATAAAGCGCAACCGCTGTAATGGCAAGGAGTAAGGTGACTGGAAAGAGCATATCCCGTTCACAACTCGTTTGAATTCCATCATCTGAAGTCTAAGGCTGCAGTTTGCACTGCCTTACTTATGGTTTTGGCGAATGTATCCAGCATTGTGTCGAGTGCCTCCAAGGCCTCAACAATTTGCTGGATATTCTTCGCGAGCTGTTTCCTGGCGATCGCCCTTTGCGAATTCCAAGGGGGTGTGACAATTTGCAAGGCGAAAAGAGCCAGCCCGCCCAAAGCGAATAAAATTGACCACGAAAGATATTCAAAAAGATATTGAACACCGTCCTTCATGGAGTCAAATGTGGGCATCATGATCCTCAATTTCAGTAGCATACAGCATGTGTTGTACGGAATAAAGACAAGGGCAATCTTCCCCAGATAAGAGGAATCAATAGCCTCACGGAATGGTGGAACACGATACAGTAGCGGAACGCGAATGACGATGACCCACGAAAACAACGCCACAATTACACCCAAGGCCGCAAACTGGCCCCCCACGCCTCCAGCATACAAAGCACAGAACGAGAGCATGGTCAAAAAGTAAGTCATAGAAATTGAAAGTAGCCAAACCCAAATTGCACTGTATAGAGAAGAACTATACTCCGGCATAAGCGCAATGCTCAGACAAAAGGCGAGCAGTAAAAAGTTTGCGCCTAAGTAACCTTGGAACGTGAGTTCCATGCTAACATGGAGAGCAAAAACGATGATGATGGAAATTTTCGTGGCACGTATGAGCCTCTGAACCCAAGAAGCTTTCAAGTTTTTCCATGCACCTAAGCAGAAATTGGGAACGCAGAAGGCGCTGGCCTTTAACGAAGTCCATAGTTTTGACGGCGTGAAGCCGTAACCACTGCGATAATGGTTGTTGCTTTTGCTGTTGCTGTTGGTAAGACTTGTTCCATCATTGCGGCCAGATGCCGAGGCAGCTTTCCGCCCACGCGGTCCATTTCCTGAAAAACGTTCTTCTCCACCCCCAGAAGAGCTGTTGGCACTTCTCCAGCAGCATCCACCGTGACAACAGTGGGACGGAATTGTCATTCCTTCCCGTCACGTTAGCACTACGGGAAGTTCGGAATGCTGTAATGTCATGCTGCTGTGCAGTAGAGCCACGCTAAAGCGGAGACGCCGCACGTTCGAAGATATGCTAAACGTGAATATCCTAAACCAATATAGATTGTCCTTGTAGAGTTAACAACCATAAGGTGTTTATCCCTGGCATGCTGCATCCCTCCCACTCTGGCTGCAGCGAGACCCTCAGCAAGGTCAACGAGGTGCCACGGCAAATCAGGCCTAAACTTCAGGAAGAAGACAAAAGTTCCCGCGCTTTGTAGGCAGTAAAGTACGAAATAATGAAACTGAAATGGAGGCTTAGAATGCACAGGAAGTGCTCCACCACAAGATCATCGACTCTGCAGTCGTAGCCTGCTCAAACAGCACCGGACCTCAACGGGCCGGGCTACGTGATGTCTTTGAATACTACGGAATCTTTTCGTAGACAACCAAAGTTACACATATAAAGTGCAAAAACGACCTCCTCCAAACACATCAGAGGCTCCTTTGCGGGCTGGGAAGTGACCACTGGACCGCCCCTTGGGTGGCCGTTGCAGATAGCTACCGTGTCAAGCAGTGCTTCTTTTACTTCTGAGGATCCTGCGAGGTTTTCGTTGTCTGCGCAGAGCTCTTTGTAATATACTTAAGAGCAAAGTTGCCGAAAACTATCCGGAGTACTGCTTTAACATATCGGTGAACATCCCAATAAATGCCGCAAACGCTTGGGAATGCCCCTGGTTCCACAATCAAAAGATGTACGAGTCCGCACAGCACAGAAGATGACTGTCTCACATTCTGCTTGGCTGTTCGCTAGCATTTTCACGAGCAGCTTAGCTGGCAAGCCTAACTCTGGTACACCGCAGTTTGCCCACAGGCGTTCGGCGTTAATTCAGGAGGACATTGAAGCTTTGAGAATAGGCCGTATTCTAATATTTATATATTAGAATACGGCCTATCTTCAACGCTTCACATATATGACGTTGTAAGGACATTTCTCTTGCTGCTACGTGCGAGCTGCCGTGACATTGATGCTCTTACTTGCCTACTACTGTACTTACGCTCAACACATGTGCTTAAAACCAACAGGTACGGATCCATACAGTATGTAAAAATACCAGTAGCGCACCGAACATGCACTGTGTGTGTCTCTTCTTCGTTGCTCAACACATTGCACGCCATACTTAAATAATCGTAGGATACTACCTTCGTGCAGCAGTGCGTCGGCAGCATCAGAAGCTGACTAGTAGCCAGGTCTTTGCATTCCTCCATGAAACAACGAAAAAGTGGAACCTTAGAAAGCACAGAAACTTCAGCTACGTCGTAGCCTTCGACAAGCGAAGTAACAGCGCTTGCGTCCCGCCTCCTAAATACCGTAGCAGCAATTTTGGAGAGGCAAATAACAGCAGTAAAGAGACGTCAGTTACAGCACTACAAGACAATGGGAATGTCTGTATAAGAGCGTGAGCTTTCCCCCTTCCCCTCCCATCAACATTTTACTTTCATAGGGCCAGCCCCTCAGCGTAAAGCGTAAAGTTGTACCCCGCAGCCATATTGTATGTCTGTTTCCAAACCCCAAGTCCGTGGCCTCTGTGATGTGACTCGACTTTGATTGCTGGTGTAGATGCAACGCACCGCCATCTTCACCCCTCTGTCGGCGCCGTGGAGTCCAACACTATCTCAGAGCCTGCTAAGCTTCGCTGGTTGCTTCAGCTTTGCTCGTCTGCCTCTTCTTCCCGATGATCTCTTGAGCAACAAAGAGGCTTCACCATAATTCTCATAATTATCGTTGGCTCGTGCCTCTGCACAAAATTTTTCAAAACCTTTTAGAAGGCGTCACGGGGCACCTAAGCTTTTGCTCGTTGAAATGTCGACAGAAGCAGGAGCTCAGGGGACTCTTCATCCGATATTACCACAGGAAGCACTGTATTGCAGCCTAATGCGCTTACCAGCGCCCTGCGGCTGCTGCTAAGGAAGTGCTGGTCGCTGTGGCCGTCAGCCGCAGCGCACAGTACAAGGTCTGCAAGTAAACGAGACCGTACGCTTGGTAAAATTGCTGCCGTTGCCGCTACTGAGTTTTCGTATTCTATGCCCACATCTGATAAACCAATGCCTTCACACCACACCGGCATGTAGAACCGCTGCTGCAGCTCGTGCTGCTGTTGCTGCAGCTGTTGCTCCTCCAGCTGAAGTGCCCGAAGCATCTTCCGCTCCTGGTGTTCCTGTTGGCACTGCATGCTCATGGGCGCCCCCGATTCAGCATTATACTGCTGTTCAAGGGCCCCTAGCCTTTGCGACATTTGCAGTACCTGGAGCTGCTGTCCCAGCTCAGCAGCAGCAGCAGTGCGGTTCACATGTTGTTGCTGCTGATCTTGCAGAAGTGGAAAGTAAAAATTGCGATTTTCCGAAACTATCGAGAGCAGTGCATCAGCAACTCGCTGAGTTTGCTGCTTTCGCGGAACAGCAGTAGCGAATGACTGGTCATCAGGCCTTCTGCAACTGCTGCCACTGGAAGCAGCAGCAGCAGCAGCTCCCTTCAGAAGCACTGCAAAGGCCTCGAGCGCAGTAAACTGCTGCAGTGGTAGTAGAGGCAGTCGGTACTCACTGCATCGTTGCAGCACCCAAACATGCGCAAAACATATACCCCGCTAAAAGAATAGCACGCCAAACAGCAAGCTGGTAGCAGCAGCACAGGCAGCAGTTCCAGCATAACGGTCAACCACAGCCTACCTTGTCCTCAGCTGCATTTGTTCCTGACGAAGGCAACGCAGGCACTCCGAAAGGGATGTCGCCAGAGGTGCAGCCAGCAGCAGCTCGGGGCTACATGCAAAAGGATCCTCCTTGTTCCTGTCCTCGATGCTACTGCTGCTGTCACACGGCCCGTCGGCATTTTGGAGCGGAATACCCACGCCTGCGAGATTCTCTCCCAAGAATGGACTATCAGACGTGCTGCTGCTACAGCTGCTGCTGCTGCGTTTACAGAGAGCCAAAGACTCAACAATTACAGGCACTACAAGGCCTGGTAGCAGCGCATGCTGCAGCCACTCAGCGACTGTGCAGTGGCGTCTGCTCTTTGTCTCAGCACCTTCTGCACCCTCAAAAAAATCATCCAAAGCAGACGCAGTAACAGCAGACGACGCAGCTGTAGCTGGAAGGGCAGCAGCAGCGGCACTGTGTACTGAAGAACGACGCGCTGCAGCAGCTTCCACAGCCATGCCAATGAAGCCTGCATAGCAGCAAAGTGAAAGGCAATAGCAGCCTAAGAGGCAAACTGCATGCTGCTGATCCATTCTCAGCCAGTCGTCGGCGTTGTTCGCGTTGTTAGAGGTTACAGGGAAGGCCACTGCTGCTGATCCTACAGCAGGACCAGCTTGAGCAGCTGCAGCTGCTGCAGCAAGCGAACGCTGCGGTGTACGTGCCAAGCGAAGCAGCGGCAAGGCAGCTCTGGTCCTCATCGGGTATTCGAGATAAAAAAAGCCAAAAATAGACAATAGCATCTGTAGCAGGAACTGAACGCCACGCAAAACCCGCTTCCTGCAACAAAAGAAGCAACGGTCGCAAGCGCAGATTTGACTATGCCATGTTGGTTGGTGAATTTGATTCAACGGAGCACAACCATGGAATGCGAGATTTTGTGAAAAGCAAAATTGTCCCTCGACAAGATGGAGCACTGTAGGAACAACAACGGAAGCACGGAAGGCAATCTTTTTGTAACCGCGGAAATAACGTCATGTGCCTACTCTTCAACGTGCTGCTGGAGCCTCTCTGCTTCAGTGAAAGGAGCCGCCGTGTTTAGAGCCGGAAGCAGCTCTGCTGCGCACTCCCACAACAGCTCCGACACGCGGCCAGCGATCGCCAGCACGTCCTGCAAAGGCAGCAGCAGAAACAAGTGCACTTCGTGCAGTGGGTTGTGCAAGGAGTCGGTAGCGTTATCCCGTCTAGCAATGACCGCTACATTACTCGAGGCTGCATTAGGTCCGGTATTTGCCGCTGCCAGGAAGAGCAGCATCAGGTCCTGCACGGCCTCTGGCCACTGTTGGAGTCGCCGCAGCTTCGACTCACAGCCGGAAAACTGTTGCACATCCATGCAACAAATGCGTCCAGGCGGTCATCAGAGGCGCCACCCCAGGAAGCGCTGCGTCGCCACAAGACCTCACCCACCAGCACGGCCTACACCAACGGCACCAACAGAAATCGAACAGAAAGCAGAAAGGGTTGCAGTTAAAATAATAACTGTGGTCCAAATAGTACAGACCGACTTCCTGGTAAAGCCACAACCACAGTGCCTAGCTGATTCATCTGTCGTGAAGAGGGCTACTACTGCTGCAGCTTCTGCTTTAGCCCTTCTTGACGCATCTTTTGCACTGTAATTGGCGCCTTCGGTACTACTTCAGCAGCCTGTGTAGTTGCTAGAGCACCTATGATGATGCAGTATTGAGTAGAATTCACAGGGGAGTGGTGAATGTACTAGCCGTACTCGTCGATGGGGAGAGAGCTGCTGTGTAAAGCGCGCAATGCAGTAATCGAGCGGACCACGGCTGTCCAAAGCGTCAAAGACATACTGCCTGTAATAACGACAACAAGAATAACTGTCGCAAAGATGCACCGAAGGTGGATGCAACAACAGCATCCAGATAGGGCACAAAAAACGGGGGGAAACAGAGAGTACCAGCCTCCGCTCCCCTTTTTGTATTCCCTTGTGCGCTGCTGCTGCTGCACCAATGTAAACAAGACCCCAGCACTAGCTATATATGAGCAGCGCCCGCAGGTTTTGCCCAGTTCTAGCTGGACACAAAGCACTTGGACAGCAGCAGTTACCAGCACCAGCAAGGCCAGTTGCCTTCCATACCCAATAATCTCATCGCACAATTCCGAATCTACGGAGAAGAGACTATGGCGCTGCAGAACCACAGCGTTCGCAACAGCACAATGCTGTGGACGCTGCGGCAGCAGCTGCTGCCTCTGCGACTGTTGTTGGCCGATCTCGCGAAGGGCGCAAAGCAACAGTGCAGCAAACCGCTGTACCTCCGGGTTCGTTCCGGTAGAGCTGCCGACACACAGCACAACAACGCAACAATAGACCACTCAATGCTGCACTAGCACCTCTCCTATGTTAATTAGCACATCAAAAGGCCGCGTCCGAACTTCAGTGAAGCAGCAGGGTAAACTTGGACGGCGACTTTTCAGCTGCTGGCTCACTTCAATACAAAGTTACCGTCGCCAGATTTAGAACAGCAGACTGTTGCGCCGTTGCTGACAAGCTGCTGGAGCTGCTGCAGCAGCTCCAGCGTGTGTGATCCTTCTTCATGTGCATTATTTGTCGCATTTGCCGCATGTACCTCTCCTGTTGAAGCAGTGTTAGTTGCTCTAGTCTGATGACCATCAAGGGCCGCAACTGGCATTTCCATGTACGCAGATATTAGTTGTATCTGTAGCTGCCGGAAGGAATCCCGCTGTTCTGTTGCGATGCGCAGCTTGCCGCTTTTGCTGCTGCACAGCGAGTCAGAGAGTAGTGACAAATTCTGGACCAAACAACAACGCACAATCAGAACTAGTTGTTTCTGCTTAACCGGAGTCGTGGCCGTTTGGGCTGGCAAACAAACATAACAGAGGGAAGACAAACAAAGTAAGCGACAGTTGCTACTGTCACACGAAACGCTGCGGAAGAGCAGCGTAATAGCTCACCTGTAGGATGCGAGATACGAGCGCTGCGACAGTTCTATCTAAAGCTGCAGCCTCTGGAAGTCCAGTTGCCCTTGAGGTTGCTGCCTCAGCTGCCGATGTTGCAGGCGGCATCGCGTTCTTGACGCCGTGCAAGAGAGCGTCAGCCTGGTCGCCTCTTGCTGCGGTAACCGCAGCAGAAAAACGAGGAAGTAGCTGCAAAACGTCACAGCTCCCTATCCAACAGCTGCCGAGCTGTTGCTGCAGTGTTCGTGGGCACTGCTCCTGTTGCTTCGGCTGCAACATATCGCAGTGCTTTCTGTGCGAGAAAAGCGAATGAGCTTTGTAGAGTGATCCAGCTGCGGCAGCAGCTCCTGCAGCGGGTGCTGCTGAAACAGCAGCAACTTCTCCACGGTAGAGGCCGTGGGGTTGTTGTCGCCTCAGCATCTGCACTAGAGTTCCTGCTAGTTCTTCCTGCGGACCCACAGCAACACGACCAGCGCGCATCCCAGTGAATGCTGTACTATAAGCAACGCCATGACGAGAAGCAGAAATGCGAACAGTAATAGCAACAAGCGCAGCCCTTACATGCATAGCGTGACAAACAGCAAACATCGCATCTCCCCAATTCTCTGCAAGAGTCAGAAGGGTCTCCAGATCCCCCAAGATAAATCCATACACTCCAGCTTCTTCCTGACTCATACAGTAATGACTTCCGCATAGGCCAAATTGGCCGTTGGAGCTGTTGGTGCTGCGTCTACTCATGCCGCCTTCAGATGTGTTTGTCCAGAAGCTACTGCTACCCAGATTCTCGGTGCTGCTGTGGAGGATAAGGCTGCACGCATACTCTAGCAGCCCGCGCTGAGTCTTTCCCTCTCCTTGTCTCCCAAGGTCAGATGCGTCAGCTCCAGTGAACAAGGCTGTACTGCTGCTGCTGACGTCAGTAACCGCTGTGTCCTGCGTTTCAATACCCAAAGCAGTCTCAAGATATTCATCTAAAGCAGCCCGTTTTCTGCAGCAGCTGCTGCTCTCCTCCAGTAGATCCTTCACCGTACGTCCACATGGCCACAATGCACTCTGAAACAGCAGAAAAAACAGCAGTAGCCTGGCAAAGAAGACATCCAACCAGCAGCAATCGTAGCGGCGGCAGCCATACGAGGCCAGTGAGAGAAGACCAAAAGCACTGGTCGGCAAAGCAACGGAGAACAAGGGTTACAGTGAGACTGCACAGCCAACAGAAAGCATTTCAAAGCAACAGCAACACTGAAGCGAGCGACATAATGCACGAAAGCCGCAGCAACCACAGTAACAGACTCGTAGTATCCACGAGGCATTGGATAGGAACTCGATTTCCTCAGGGTTGAAAAGGCCGCCAGCGCCAGGTAGACAGAAATCCTCAGTGCCATGCGTCTCTAGCCAAGCCTCTCCGCCTGAACCACCGACAACAAGGTCAGAAAATTCCACAGCGCGCGTTACAACACAGGAAAACAGCCGCTGCAGGCCAGGAACAGCAACACGAACCAGAGTGGCTAAAGACGGCCGCAACAAAAAGCACAAAAAGAGGAGCACACCCCTTAAGACGTGCACAAGCCACGACGCCCCTTTGGCTGCTGCCAGCGCCTCTGCTGTTTTTATTTGGCCCGCTCGAAGCCGTCTCCAGATGGACATGAAGAGACAGCTCGTTGCCCTCCGGTCAGCAGCAGCAACGGAGGGGCACGCTACAGCAGCAGCAGCACGAGCATTTTTGCCTTTTGAAGCAACTGATTCTCCCGATAATACTAATTGACGCTGGATCTGCTGAGGGTCTTGCGTGGGAAGGGCGTAGGGCCAATCCATGTGATAAAACGTCTTTTGTGCTGTGGAGCGCCCGCAGGTAGCTGCAGCACAGAACAAGAACAAGTGTAATACTAGCTAGCGGCGCCCACGACAAAAGCTACGGACGCGTGTTCATTGTTAAAGAGCTAACTACTGCGGAATGGTGGAGCCGACACACAGAGCTGCTGCTGAAAATCTGCAGCACTGAGAGCGAAGTCCCCGCGGCCAAGAGCAGCTGCTGCATCCCGCAGCTGTTCCTGTTGTTGTAGCCACAACCGAACCGCCAGGAGGCATCTCAGAGAACGATACTTAGAAAACATTAACAGAAACGCCTGAGAGACATTTGACAGTAGCCCATAGCACAGATTATCCCCTGGACTGCCCCGTTGCTGCTGTTGCTATTTCTGCTGTTTATCCTGCATAAGTATTTGCTTCAATGCCTTACTTGGCCTTCAGAAATGATAGATTTGTCGGTCAGGTCCTCCCGCAGACTATGAATAGCGCTGGCATCTGTTGCTACTACAGCATCTGGTGAGGGGAACACCTGCATAATCTGGTGTTGCAGCTTGTACCCTAAGGCATCAACCTGCAGCAACATCTTGAAGAGCGATAGCGTGCTTTGCATTTCCTGGCGCAACATTTGCTGCTGGTCATTGCGGCAACAGCAACCCGATATGTGTCTCCGTTCTGGTGCTGTCGGCAGCTGCTGGGGGCTTCCATTGCAGCAGGCGCAAGACAAATCTAACCCTTTCGAGCAGCGATCCACCGACCGAAGAAGAGAAACAAACGGATCTGCCGGTAGTGCAGCCCCGTTTGGAGCTGCGGCAACACCTGTGTTAGATGTAGCAACACGTGCAGGAGGCGGTGCTCGGGAAAAAGCTGGGGTTTCCTTCATTTTCCGCCCGTGGTCGTAGCAAAGAGTCCGTCTACTGCTGCATCAGTACTTGCTGCTGCTAGTAGGAGGCACCCCCCTCCTTGTAAGAGTGCATAAAATGGGGAGGTTCTTGGAGTTGAAGCCCTCCAAAGATGGGCCGGAGTCCAAACCCCAAACGATAAACCGCAAAGCATCAGCGCTGCCCCACGTCCATGCTATCAGACCCCCTAAAGTCACAATGCAAAGGGCTGTTCAGGGTGTAGGGCTGAGCAATCAAGTCGTGAGAGCGCGCCGAGTAGGTCGAATGTGAGAAAGCGGGTGGACTACGGGAACAAGATTCGTCCCCTTTCCACCCCCTTTGTAAAGATCTTAAAATCAGAATAGAAGTAAAATTTAGGGGTTTAGAAACTGAGAAGAGAACGAAACTCCCGAGAAACCCTCTGGACAAGACAAGTTTGCCCAGTGTATCATTTTGACAATGGTGATAAAGTGCACCAGTGAAGCAAATACCTCCTTGGAGTCCCTTAATCTTGAAAACCTTTGATGCTTAGAGAGTTTGGGAGAAAACACTATTAGACTTGGCTGCACAACTTCGCAGTGCATTATCAGAGGCCCTCTGTGGGGGGCCCCGTGAAGGGGCCTTTGAAGCCTGCCCAACAACTTTAGAGGAGGGGCGCCAAGGAGAAGGTGTGTCTACTTGTTTTATTTTCGTTTCTTTTACATACTACACGTTTGCATGCCAGCGCAGAGCATATATATGCTCTTCCATTGTGGCGCTCCCCCACAGTGGAGACCTAAGTAGTTAAAGGGCCAACTTTGAGAAGCACAGTGCGAGACTTTTCGGAAACGTGAATGAGTAGCATCTGAGGGAGACGAGAAAGCTGTACTTCGAAAGCATGAAAAAAGTCGGGTTCCTCGTCGCCAAACTGTAGGCAGAGGATATAGCACGATAAATTTGGAGGGAAGAAAGCACCGCAATTGCCGATTATTTGCGCAGTAGCAGCAACCACAGAAAAAACGCGCCTAGCTACACTACGCCTCAATTGGAAGATACAGCCAGTTGTCTCGAACAGTACCCTGACAGTACCGGACGGTTGGTTCCTGCTAGTGAGGTTACTATTTATTATGTCGATCAGCTATTGGTCTGATCACCACTCAGACTGACCTCAAGATACTCACGGGAACTGTTTAAGCTACCATGAGGTGACGGCTTCAGGGCTCTTACAGCGCAAACAGCATGTAGTATTTGGACTTAACCCAATGCCAGGACCTCACTCAACACAGCACTTCCACACCCTCTATCGCTTTATGACCTGTAGGGTTCCAGCCACCCGCACTCCACCAGCAAATTCAAAGCCTCAGCAGAAAAGAGATGCCTTGACACCAAGCTTTAGATATATGGGGAGAACAAGACGCTTGTTGACTGCATATTCCAGATGCCATGACTAGCACGGACAAAAGTCTGTGTGGCAACGGATCCACAGAATGAGAGCTAAAAACGCACAAAACCCATGACGATCTTCCTAATAGACCTTCTGGGAGCCTTCATGTGCGGGACACTGACTTCGGTGCCTTATTCACGTACAGACCCAGTAAGAAAATCCCGTTAAATCGTAATTTGCTACAGGCACAACATCCACACAAGCTAGTCCATCCGATACTTAAACTACTACAAAACGTCCCACGAAGTATGCACGTGTGTACGCTTGCGATCCGTCTACCCATGCATGGCGCGAGTGACCCCCACGAGCACGCGAACACGGCTGGAAAGAAACGGAGGAAAACAAAAGTCCATGCAGCACTCCGCAAAAAGACAGCTGAAAACACACAACACCCATGAAGACTCCCTTCTTGGGCAATACAGGGAGTAATGATGCTGGCATGCCGCCTTCTAATGGTGGGACCTAACGGCTGCGGAACCGCCTAACTGCTGGCAGCCGTTCTGAGCTGCGACGCCTTTGAGAAACCGGGACCTGCTATTTGTGTCCTGCCTGTTAGGGGCCTCGCTTTCTTTGTCTGATGAGTTGCTGCATGCTGCGAAGCCGCTTATCCCGGAAGATCCACCTGAAGCACGCGGCAGTGACAGCAGATCAACCACTGGATCAACTTGCACAAACACCTAAAAAAGTACTGTGAGCTTCCGGAACGCGGGGAACCGGGGTGACCCTCGAAAGGTGCGCTCACCGGATTGGAGTTGAGTGCATAGAAAACGCGCCTCTAACAGAATAATCAATATACCGTTTGTAAGCTTCACTGAAGAACTCCGATTTATTGCAGAATACAACAATTGTAGGCGGCTGGCAATTCACCTAACGCAGACCCCTTTGACGCAGCAATGACGAAATCAAAATCAGAGGCAAAAGGGGCACTGATGGAAGCACACATGCATTCGATATGCGCGAAGGATACGGCATAAATCATGACAAAACTTTACAGCTCGTGTATCCTGCAGTTGGGATAGGAGCCTAGAGAGGGCAGTATGCATATGTAGGTAGCTCGACTCATTCTAGAAGCATTGCTACTTTTGGCTTATACAGATATTAAAGGCATTTTTCAAATGCATCCACGCTTGCTTATTGATCACCCCAGGGCAAGTTGTGTGCAGTTACCTGCTGCGCTAAATATATCTTCCCTCGCTTGCCATCTCTCGTCACGGGTGGCGGAAATAAACCCACAGCGTCCCGCACCACAAAATTTAATAGTGCGGTCGTTAGTCGCCTACGGTGCTGCAGAGAATGAATGAAAGTAAAAGCCGAGGAGCAGGATCTCCAAGAGTAGTGTCAGCAACAGCGGCCGTTGCTGTTTCTGTAGGCACTGGTGTGGACGAAGCTGCAAAGTGCTTTTCCAGCTGACTACTGCCAAATGAAACGTGCATCTACTAACAGGTGAAACTAGAAAAAGGCATGCCCAGCCAAGTGTCTATAGAGGCTGCCTGGCTTCACAGTTCAGGCCAGTCTGTACGTCTGGTGTCTGCGGTTTCTACCATGTCTATCTGAATGTCAACCCTGAGAAACGAATTCTAATATATCCACCTCTATCCTTAAACCGCGAATGACGAAATTAAGCCTAAAAAACTAAAGGCGGGCACCTGATTCACTGCAGCATCAACGGCCGTCCAAATCTTGGCGACACCTTCCCCTGTCTCCGCTGAAACGAATAAGACCTCTGACCAGTAGAGGGGGAAGAGCACCTTGCGCACATATGCGACAGCCTGTGGGAAAACCCCCAAGCCCGCAGAGCCCCAAAGTCCCAGCCAACGAAACTGTATATAGATTGATAAAGTGAAGGGGAAGGCAATGGTGATGACATTAACAGCAGCGAACATGGATGCAAGGACGTAAGACACAAACGAGCCAGGATCAAGCTACGGAACATAGCCGTTGGAGGGGCCCTTGCCAGAGAGCTAAGGTGGCATCACCCCACCGTACCTCATTGTGTTTAAAGTCAGTCGTCTGAAGTGCGATATCCCACTTATTGAGAACAACAACAACACCACGCCCAAATGCTTCCAACATTTTTGCAAGATTTACGTCTTGGTGCGTCAACCCCGCCAGAGCGTCCACAACCAACAAGCAGACATCCGCCCGCTGGGCCGCCTAAACATGGAGCACAATCATATGCTTCGGCAGAGCAGAAACAAGTGCAGCAACAAAAGCAAAAGTAGCAGCTACACGGCCCATCGCAGTAACAACAAAAGGTCATAGGGCTGCTGCCCTCGCAGCTACCTAGCCACCTCAAAAACCACCCACATGGCCTCCAACATGCAAATAGAAAAGGGACTGCTAAACGCTCACAGTTTTTGCGCGGGCAACCATATGTGCATCCATATTCACAGTTTTCCGGATCCCGCTCGCCCGCCGGATACCGGCAGTGTCTACCACGCAGTAAAGTCGGTTCCCTTCAGACAACAAACGATGCGCATGCGCAGTAGCACTCCTGTCAGTCTTTGATATCAAAAATTTGAGCGCGTGTAAGCCTTCCAACACCTGTGCCACCGCAGCCAGCCAATGCTAGCGATGCAGATGCCTATCCTCTCTGAGCGATTTACACACACGGTGAGATTTTCAGCCTTACCACGGGAGACAAATTCGTCAACTGCGTCGCGAGTGGTGCCAGGGATAGGGCTCACAATACTGCGCTGATAATTGACGAGGCGATTTAGCAGACGGGACTTGCCCGCATTCGGCCTACATTCGTCCAAACGCTTAAACTCCAAATTCTTAATCGCCAATCCTGCGGCCAGGAATTCGTTCTGGAGGTGTGCTTGCAGCAGACACCAGAAACTTCTACTGCTAGACTGTGTGCTCGTCCGAAGGCAAAAGAGACAATCTAACTGTACCTCCCGATAAGGGCGACTCGTACATGGTCTCTCAAGCCATCCTGCAGGCTGCCTTCACTTGGGCGAAGAGATGTGCGGCTGGGAGCTTTTTCATGACATTTCATCGCCTCCACGCACCTGAACTCAAAGTGCTAGCTCAGACTCGATTTAAGCCTTTGGCTACACTTGAAAAGGCAAACTACACCTGAGACTGGCTTGCTGTCGAAGACGCAAGCACAGACCGCGTCAGAAACAGTAACAGCAACTCCATCCGAGACGACAGTAAACGCAGCAACGTCAACTGCACATCCGAGAAACCCAAAAAGAGCCTTGAAATGCCGTACCTGTCCAGAAGCTCACTCACACCAGAGCCAGTTGCTGCGCTGCATGGCATTGGCACCCCCAGGCCAAGTCTCCAGAAGGCCTGCAAAAGACGGAAGGTTCACAGAGCCCCACGAGTACACCTTAATTACGTAGGAAGCAAAGACAGCCAGTACAGCAAGAAAAAAATAAGATTGCAGGCGCCAAGGTTACGGAAAGCAGCAGTCGTCGGGAGCGCCTTGATGCTCACTGAAGCAAAGGGCGGCTGCCCTTTCTCCAGTTATTCAGAGCTTGCTTATCTTTCTCAACACCCTCTGTCCTATGCGTTCATTACTGAAGAAACAAACGCCTGTGCGTCTTCGACGCCCTTTGAAGCAAGCCTACCTGCGCCTCGGCTACGGCGGTCTTGGGGTTCTCGCATTTGTTTACACAGAGGACAACGGGAGCCTTCAGGTGTCTTGACAATTCCGCCAAATACTCATCGTCTTCCTGCACTCCGGCCTGCAAGAAATATCGAACTCTGTGTGGCCGTATCTCCTTTCGGCTGCTGTACAATGCGTGAGACCATAGCAAGTAGTAACAGCAGCAGGACACTTTTCAAAGTGGTTTCTGCTGCCTCTGTGGCAGATTCTTGCGCGCCCGTGCACTTGCACACACTTCTACGAATTTCCATGCCTTTGCCTGTACACAGCTGTAAATAAGTTAAGCCCCTGTTTCGTCTCAAAATGCACAAATTGATGTCGTGGGTCGTGTTTTCCTCCCTCCCATTTGTTTCACAGAAGTGGTGTGCGTCCTACCCTTCCGTCCACCACGAGAATTACGCAGGCCGCTTGCTGTATGGCGAAGGAGACTTGATCCCTGAGCTGCGGACCAATAAAGATAAAGACGAAGCAAACAGACACACAAAATACACAACACGTGCACACAATGGGTGCAAAAATGTACGGTGACAAGTCCAAACTCATAATGCACCCATTCGCGCGTATATAAGTGAAGCAGTGTCAGCCCAGGTAACCTTACCTCGGCAGCAAACGGCCCCAATGATTCATCTTCCATCACGATTCCTCCCGTATCTGCCACCTCAAATTCTGTTCCTCTCCACTCAATCAAAGACAACAGACAATCTCGGGTCGTGCCAGCGGCTGAGCTTACTAGGGCACCTCCCCGAAAGCCTCCTGTAAGGTCCCCAAAACAAATGCGATTAAACAGGGCGCTTTTCCCCACGTTAGGCCGACCCAGGAGACATACTCGATGGCAGCGCCGTGGTGATGCACCTGGAGGAGTGGACATTGCAGTAGCAGGCGTGCACGCAACAACGATGAAAGACGAGATGCTAACTACAGCTATGGAGAATAATGTGCGCGGCAACACAGCTGCCAATTTTCCGTGGGGATTTGGGGTGGATGGCGCCAAGTGTAGGTGAATGAGTTGAGGACTCAGTGGGGAGCGCATCTCACAGGGCCACAATTGGGCGGAGCCAGGAGCAAAAAAGAAACAAAAGCAGTGCGAAGGAAGGGTAGCCAAGGGGAATGGCTGACCTGTAGTGTGGTTAAAGGCTGTTGTTTCATCTGCCTCATCAGACAGCGAAGCAAACGCACGCATGCCACCTCCCGTCGAAAATGCCGGCAGTTGGCAAAAGCTTGTCGATGCTGCCGGCCTGGTAGCAGTAGCCGCTTCTCGGGGCATGCTTGCCGTCAACGGGCTTAGAAAAGTTGCTTTACTCGCATTTGGTGAAAGATCCCTTTTCAGCCATCCAAGCCTCTGCAAGCGTCTGAAGGAGTACGGCTTCCTTAGGGCCACAACGTCGCCCCGTTGATGTAGCAACGGAGAGCAGTGTGTGCGTGCCAGCGGAAGCAGAAGTAACAGGAGGCGCGACAGAAGTAAAACACGGTTTGCGGCCCTCCTTGTTCCCGATGCTTCCACTATACAGTGTCTGCTCACAGCCGCTGCGCTCCCTTGCCCATCAACTACAACTGGTAACGGGAATTGTTGTGTTAGCCCAAAGGGCCTTTGCTTTGCACCGAGGGGATCCTCCATCTCTAGCGCAGTTCAAACCCCTTGGGGAGCCTGTGTGGAGTCCAGGACTACCCGTTGGGGTTTGGTCAAAAAGTAACGCAGCTTTGTCATGGGAGATGGCAGGCAGAGCACAATCGAAGTGCTTCTACCACGAAATCACATGAATCATTCGAAAATTATAAAACGGGACGTGGGTGCAAGGGCAGATCAAAGCAGCTCCGGGCCGAGGATTGAACAGGCCCTCTTGCTCAAAAAGGTACGTTTCAGAAAGAAGCGTTTTGTAGACTCTCTGATTCGCTCAGGCAAAGAGTGGCTAGTTAGGTTTACTGTTTTATTTTCCTCTAGCTGAGCCTTCACTATACAAGCAAACAGGGTCATAAGGGCACCATATTGGACCTGTGGCATACGTGCTAGTGTTCGCATGTGGGGCCCCTCCTCAGTGCCGCGTGTTCTATACAGTTGAGTTTTTTCTCGTTTCTGCTTGTTTTTCATTTCGTGTGAGATTCATATCTGAGAGTAAAGGAGACGTATGCTCAAGGAATTGCCGAAGGCGCTCTGGTGTTTGTGCCCTGTGCTGTCCTTGCGTGTCTCCTGTGGTCCGTAGCTACTCCTTTTGTTTTCTGCCCCAATTTTTCAAAGCATCATTTTCCTTTGGAGCATTTGCTACTATCTGGGCCGATACATTAGACGCGGATGGGTCGAAACATCGCGGCAGGGAAGGCCACGGAAGGTCAAGCTCCTACCGAGAGCGGCGCTGAGAGTGACATCAGCTGCATTATCACTAGCAGCTGTGATGGTGGCAGTAAAAGCAATGAGAGCAGCAACAGCGTCAGTGATAGCCGAAGAACGCGTGGCGCAAAAGGGATCCGGGATGCTGCCTCTGGCTGCAGCGACACAACTACAGTGGTTGCCGGTAACAGCCGCAGCAGCATGCTGAGGAGAAACAGAACAAGCTTCAAGGATTTACCTTGTGACAGCAAAGAAAGCAATGCCTCTCCAAAGGAAAACAGCACTGTTAGCAGCACGCCCAGCGGTGACTGGGGTTGTAACGGCAGCGACAGAAACAGAAGCAGAGGAGATAGCAACAACATTAGCAGCAGAAACAAAGTGCAGCTGCTTCGGCCCGTTGCTCTTGCAACCCCAAGAATATCCCTGAGTTTTTTGCACAGCACGTCTTTACTCAAAGCGTCTTCGCACAGCCCTCCTCCAGTCCCCATATCTGCTCAGGGCGCAAATGAGCAGAAGAGCAGCAGTTCAGCACAACCAGCAGAAACAGTAGGAAATCCTCTTCCTCCTGCCTTCAGTCACCTTTCTCTGGGTCGGCAAGCCCCCACGCCCTTACTTAAGCCACTCAACACGCCAAGTGGTCCGTTAGCGGATGACAGGGTCTTCCTGGATACAACAGCAGCACCTGGAGTCGTTAGCTTACAACCTCTTGAACCTACTAGGGCGTGTGTACTGTTGAGCAGCAGCAACAAAACACTGAATGTACCTGGCGAAAGGGACGAAAGGAAAGTAGCGGAGGCAGTGGCTGCAGGTGGCTTGCCTCTCTCTATGGCTTCTGTTGCAATGCAGCAAAAGAGGCCTGTGAGTGGGGCCTCTCTGATATGTACGGACATATCCGTGCTGCAAAAAGCGGAAAAAGAGAGGCGTCGAGTTGCGGAAAAGCAGCAACTGCGGCAGTGGTTCAACATGCCCCTAACGGAAATATCCCCACAGATGCAGAGGGAGCTGAAAGCTCTGCAGCTCTGGGCGCATGCGAACAGCAAGACGTTCAGTGGCCGTAACAGGGAGCCCGTGGTGCCCGTTGTGAAGCAGAAAGGCAACAGCAGTGGCTTTCCTATCCATGCTGCATACATGGCGGTAGCTCGTGTTGTGGGAGGGGGCCTCCGCGGAGTCGGGGGAGGCCTCGAGTCGCAGGCCGCTGGTACGGCGAACAAGGGACCGAGAGGGAGGGGAGGGGCTTCTTCTGTGCTTCAGGAGATGCTCAGCGACCCAAATGTAGCTAAATGGACAAGAAAAAAGTGCAGAGAAATACGACAAAATAACGCAAACAGGATCACGAAGGTAGTGCCACGAAGGCATAAAAGGCACAAGAAATGAATGCTTGGCAGGAATTAGTGGGGGTGTAACAACTATAAGGGATTAATAGCTTATGGTAGATTCTCTTTCCGCATGTAGAGGCCACCAAGAGAGCTGCGCTCTTGTATGAGGCCCAAGATGCAAAGTTCAGGAGCAACAGCCATGTTTTATTGGAACATGGACGCTGCTGTGTTGCTAACTCCCCTTTTGGGGCGCGCGAACATTTTGGAGCTGCTGCAACGGGCCCCAGGGCCTTGAATTCAGAGAGCACTACGAAACATTTTCAGGCTCTGAGGCAGCCTTTACAGCATGCCCATTTGGTCCCGCAGAGCCCTCTGTGGTGTTTTGCATGACTTTTTGCAGGGAGTTGTAAGGACCCATTGCCTGGGTTCTGAGGAGTACTTGTCAGTACTTGTCAGTGTAAGTGAAGGTTACTCTTTAATAGAGCTGAGAGGTCTTGCCTGTATAGAGCTAGGGAGCCACTTCTACAGTGATTGGGTCCCTTCTAGTTGGTGCGGTGGAAACGGCGTGCTTAGTGGTACTGTGAGCACCACACTTCTACAGCACCAGCCAGAAGTACGTCCATGCCTAATCGTCTCAGTATTTTGGGGACCCGTAGTTCAGCACTCTAATCTTTGCGGCTGATGAGCACGGCTGCTACTCTTTGGCTCCGTTTTTTCTAAGGCAGTTGATTAGAGGCGGAGCGGCAATCTCTCGGTTTGCTGCACCGCTTTTGTTCTTTAAAAAATTGTTTTTAGGACAGGATTTTTGCCCCCGAAAGCACCGCTTTGCACAAATGCGGAAGTGCCCACCCGTGGTGCGGGTTTAACGACGAACATGAATGTTTTTTAAGTGCAATGTGTTCATAGTTACATTGTATGCACGTTTTGACTATAGGTGTCACATTGTGTCTTTACATTGCTCGCCCTTCTTAGGACAAGATTCCTGGAGCCTCTTAGCATATATGTTAAAGAAACAAAATACAACCTGATCGCAACGCAAATACAGTAGAGTACGTTGAATCGAGCAAGGAAAAGGTGACCTTGCCCGCAAGCCGAAACCACGCATGCAGTAATCCAGCTTTCTTTGCCTCAGCTGGTGCCGTTGTCAGTATTGCAGATTATGCGGCGTTCTTGCTGCAACTTGTGATGGTTTGCTGCTTGTTCTGTCTTGAGAGATTCCTCCGTCTGGCGTGCGGTGTCTTTCTGCGCTTTTCTGTTGGGCTCTTTTCCGATTGGCTTCTCTTTGCTGCTGCGCTCGCATTAGCATCGGCAGCTCAGAAAGGTTAAAATCTGATGTCGGCGGCATTGCTGCCGAAGCTGCAGCAACACCTGCCGCGGAGGTGCTAGCGGCAGGTTCTGACGGGGTGGCACCGTAGCTCCTCCGATGCGTCACACCAGAATAAAGATGCCTCGGCCTCTCGCCCAAATCGTCTACGGGATCCCCTGGAGATCCCTTGGTCTCTTGTCTGGATAAGAAAGGTTTCAGTCTGTCCTTCACCTTGGCAGCAAAAGCCTTGGCCGCGGCGGGGGCCCCTGAAAAATCAAGCCTTGCTCCTCTTCTGCTGAGGCTCCTAGAGCCGCGGGTTTGACACCCTTTGGAGTGCCCCCAGGTTCCTGACCCAGCAGAGGACCAGTGAGCGGCGCCCGACGAGCCGTCGATCCCCGCATCACTACCTCTACGCTCCTTCATGTAATATCTTTCAACGAATTGAGGGGCATACCGGTGCCCTTCCCCCTCTAGAGAGCCTTCTGCACACCACGGAAAGGATAAGCCGTGGGCTGATGGAAGCGTCGGCGCGGCAGCAGAAAAGTGCCGTCCCTCGTGTCGATCCCTCTTGAGATGGCTGCTCAGGCCCCCAAGACCTTTCTGCGTGAATTCGCCGAGGTCTGTATACGCTTCCTGCTGCCCTGGATGTTGATATGTTGAGTCCACACCAGCTGCTGAGTGTGGGCCCCTACAACCGGTCTCACCTGAGCTCCTACGACGGCGGCGATGCGCTTTTTCATGCTTTTTCTCCTCGTCAGCTTCTGCTCCGCCAGTCACGTGGTTGAAATTGCTTTTCGTCTTACTTGTCTCCCTCAATTCTTCGCTGATAGCAGCACGCACTCTGCCGCTGCTGCAGCTTGCTGCTCTGTTGCTGCGATTTTGAGGAGCCGAAGGGCTGCCGGCGCGGTAAGGTGGAGCATCCGATGCCTCATTTGTAGGTTCGAGTAGTTCTATCGGTTCATCCACCTCAGGAGACAACACGTCGATTTCAAGAACTTCGTCGCCCTGCTTTGTGTTCTCTATTTGGGCCTCAGCTGCTGTAGCCGTTGCCACAGCTGCGCGAGCTGCAGCCGCGGCAGCAGAGGCTGCTGCTGCCGCCGCTGCTATCTGCTGTCGGCCTTCTGCAGCTGCTAATGTGTCTTCGTCCCATTCCTGCTGCTGCCGCTGGGCCTCAAGCGGGAGAGCGAAGATCTCCGAGCCTTCTTGCGATCTTTCAACAGTAGCTGGTAAGGTTTTCTTGTTGCTCCGCTGCTGCGGTTGCTGCAATTGATGCTGCGCTGCCTCTTCGTTTTCGCCATCATCAATCCTTTCCCTCTCGAGACCAAAGATGTCAGATACTGGGGTCTCGACTGAAAAGTCGGTTTCCACCGCAACATCAGCTGTTTTCTCTTTGGGTGCCTCCTCTAATGTTTCCGCTGTTGCTGCTGTGCTTGCTGCAGCCATCCGAAGAAGCTGCGGCTGCTGGATGGCAAGATCCTTCTGAATCGTATAAGCATCCTCCCTCGTTTGCACTGACGTTGCCTCGTAGCGAATTGAGACGTCGTTTCTTGCTTTGTCCCCACAAAATCCAGAGGACGCCCCAAAAGGAATTCCATCCGGCATGCCGAAAACTTGGCGGTGGTAATCCGCGCCTACTTCCTGTTGAGTTGCCGTTGACTGAGCAGCACTAGCGGGTGCTGTGCCTGCTACCACAGCAGCCGCCTCTGCACACTCTGTCTCTCTTGCTTCAGCTTCCACCAGACCTGGATCCCGTAAGTCGTCCTCAGTGCGAACTCCAAATATCCCTGAACTGACTGTGCTCTGTTTCGGAAGGTTCTTGGTGCCTTCACGCGCAGAGTCTGTTGAGGTTTCCTCAGGTCTCTGCATGCGGGCCTGCGCTCGGCCGCCTTGCTGTTCGTTTTGTGCTGCTTCTGTTGACTTGTTTTCAGGTAGTGTTGCACCCTCTAGCAACTGCTGGATAGGCACGCCTTCCGAGCTGTCAAGACCCCTATCAATGCTGCAATTCAAGCGCCTCCTCTGTCTGTCCCGTCGGTACTGGGAAAGGAATATTTGCTGTTGCTGCTGCAAGAACGCCAGCTGCTGCTGCCGCTCCTGACGACGCCTTGAACCCTGTCGTTCGCGTTCCATCAGAGATTCCAGCTCTGCCTCTGCCCGCCTCTCTCGTTCTCTAATGTTATGCTGCTGTTGCACATCCAGCTGATGCTGCAACTCATGCAACTGTGACGGTGGCTGCCGCTGCTGATAAAGGCTCCGCAGAGAGCGGCTGCTACGCATAGAAGGAGTGCTTCCTAGGGGCTCTTCCAGTGGAGCTGCAGAGAGCTGTGAAGGAGAAATGCTCGAGTACTGTGCCCCTAGTAATGCAGAAGGCATGCGACCAAGCTGTCCAGAAGTGTTCAGTCTCATTGAAGACTGCTGCTGAAGCAAAGGCTGCTGCTGTTTCTTGCACCGCTGAGGACTATTGTTTCTGCTGCCTGCCAGGGCTCGATCACCATTCAACGCCTTGGGGGGTTCGCCCTTCATGGGTGAAAGCTCGTCTTGCTGTTTTTGCAGCATCTCTTGCTGCTGTTGTTGCTGTTTTTCCATTTCTGTTAGGCGCTCAAATCGCTCTTGAAGCTCCCGACCCTTTAGTTTCTCTTCTTCTGATGGGGGGGAACTCCGCCCACCCATTAGGGCCTGCGTTTCTTGGTCACGTCTGAGAGGCCGCTGATGCTGGCGAGAAGGACTTGGTTTCCTACTCATGTCAACTGCAGACGCGGCTACCGTAGCTTTCTCAGGTATGACAGACGTCGGCTCTATAGGTAGGATGCGGGGTGTACACCCCCGCATATTGTTTTCAACTTGCAAACTGCTGGTCCGTATGCGTCGCCCCATCGCAAGCCTCTCATCAATCGAAGTACGGCCCACAATTGTTTGGCTGCTGCTGCTGTTTCTGCCTCTGTGCATAAGTCCTCTCCTGGGATGCTTTCCGGTATAACACCCTTCTATGGATTCTTGGAATTGGGACCTCTGGTAAAGAGGATGGTAGCTGTTGGGATCCATAGGAGTCAATGGGTATTGAGAGCGACCAGCATTTTCTATATTGGCAGTCTCATGGTAGCTCGAGACAGTTCGACTAGACTGCACTTCCGGGATCTGGGGCAAGGGCTGTCTTCGGGTAGCCTGGAAGTCGCCCGTGACCTCTTTGAAGCCAGAGAGGGGGGTCCCGCTCAAAAAAGGCAGTTCTTCGTGTGCAGTTGTCGCTTCTGGCCGTCCTGCTGTTGTTTGAACTGCTGCTCTCGAAATGCTCTCAGTGGCGTCTGGGTTTGTTCTGAAGGAGTGGAACGAGTACGTCTTTGGAGTCACTGAGCTGCTGACAAGGCCTAAAGACTCAGGTGAGATGTGCCCATCGCGTGTGTCGCTAAAGCGTCGCTGGCTGTTGCTGCTTCGGTAGCTAGTTGCTTCGGCAGCCCTCAAAGACGCCCGAGCATTTCCTGCTGCTGCTGCGACTGCTGCATGGGGGCGCTCCTCAATACTTTCCGAGACTCCGCCGCGGCGTCGCTGTAACAGAATTGTCTGTGGGCTTTCAGCTTGCTGTGATATTAGCCACGTGGGGGACCGCACTACGGGCGTTTCCCTCGCAGTAAGAGGCCCAGCCATGCTGCTTCCTGCGGATGTCCTGGTTGACTGTACGGAGGGCCCTTCACTCGACAAGACACCCCTAGAGGAGAGGGGTGCCTCCGAGATGGGCCCGACAGATGGGTACCTTAAGTCTAATGGTTCTAAGGTGGGCAGCAGGGAAGGGTTGCAGACCTCTTCAAAAGGGACCCGCGTTTGCTGCTGTTGATCAGAGAGCTGTTGATTATACCGTGAAGAACTAGCTGGAAGAGAATATGAGAGCATATCTATGTCAGAGATGCAAAGCGGAACGGTGGGAGAAGCTGACGCACTCCTCGCTTCGTGGGCCTGTTTTTGTCTTTGTCTCGTGAGAAAGACGGAGAAGACAGTCTCTGCCTCTCCTTCGGATGCCGCATCGCACTGTGTCTTTGTGCCTGGATCCCCTTCCGGCAAAAAGCTGTCGAAAGCTCCATGTGGGAAAAACACCATGCTGCTGTTACTACCGGTGCCAGCAGCAGACCGCTGCTGCTGCGCAACGTGACGTAAGAGCCTCTCCTGAATCTCTTCCGCCTCATCCTCTGCAATCAGTGGGCATCCCAAAGGTCCTCCAATGGACCCTCTACTCTCCAGGGGTGTCAGAAGGTCAGCAGAGTCTTGAAAGGGAGGTAGCGGGATGGCACACCCTGCTGTTGACGCTTCGGCAGCGGAATCAGGAGAATAGCTGAGCCCTTGAGGCACCTCGTGGGCTAGGGGTCCCGTCCCTCCCGTAGCAGGCCTTCGGTGTCCAGGGGAAAATGCAGCAGCATCACCTGCCATAGCTGCTACCTCTACCTCTGTAACCCCTGCTGCTGCTGCGCCTGCCGCGTCTGATGCATCTGCTGCTCCTATGGTAAGGCCTGTTTTGACTGTTTGGTCTTCAGATAAAAGCTTTGTTTCCGTGGGTGTCGCTACTGCTTCTCCTTGAGTAGCTGCTTCGACAGGGCTCCAAGGCCCAACTTCATCGTCCTCAGCTTCTTTAGCAGCAGGCATAGGCGATGCTGCTGTCCCCTCATCTTGAACAGGGTTAATAGAGCCACATTCCTCGTGTTTCTGCTGCCTTTGCTGCTGTTCCTCTTCTTGCGAAGGCCTCTGTGTTTCCTGTTGACGCAGCAAGTCTTCCTGTTGCATTTGCTGCAACTCCTGCTGCTGTTGCTTCTCTTCAAGGGTTTGCTGTCTTTCTTGCTGCATCTGCTGCTCTTTCTGCTGTTGCAATGTCTGGAACTTGTCCTGCTCGTTCTGTTGCAGCAGCTGCACCTGTTGCTTCGCGCATTTAATTTCTTGCAAGCGCTGCTCCACTTCCTCCTGTTGCACTTGACTTTGTGCCTCCTCCTGCGGCTGCTGCTGCCGATATTCGTGTTGCGGTTTCTGCTGCTCCTCGTGCAGCTGGTTCTGCTGAAGCTGATTTTCCTCTTGCCACTGTTGCTGGTGCACTGGCTGCAGTTGTTGTGCCTGCTGTAGCTGTTGCCCCTGTTGCATGCAATGTAATTTCTGCTGCTGAGGCTGCTGCTGTCGTTCGTTCTGTTGCTGCATTTCCTCCAGCTGCATCTGCTGCTCCTCTGCCAATCGTGCGTGCTTCTCCTGCTCCTGTTCCTGCAGTATCTTTTGTTCCTCCTGCTGCTGCAGGTGTTGATGTTGTTCCAGTAGAACCTTTTGATCCTGCTGCTGCAGCTGCTGGTCTTGTTCGGATAGCTGCATCGGCTCTTGCTGCTGCTCCTGTTCATGCAGCCTTTGCTTGGGCTCTTCTTGCAATGCTTTCCTTTCCTCGTGCTGCTGCACTTGTTGCTGCTGTTCCTGCAGTGGCACCTCTTCTTGCTGCTGTTCCTGCAGTGGCACCTCCTCTTGCTGCTGTTCCTGTTGTACTTGCTGCAACTTCGGCTCTGCCTGCAGTACCTTTTGTTCCTGCTGCTGCTGCTCGTGCTGCAGTTGTTGATCTTGCACTTGCAGCCCTTGCCCATCTCTCTGCTTCTGTAGAATTTCGGCGTCTCGCAGGAGTTTCATGAGTTCAGTGAGCTGCCAGTCGGTAGTGAAGTCTCTTCTCGCTTCTGTGCAGCTGTAACACGTCGCCAGGAGCGCTTTCTTGTTGCTAGGCATCTGCTCCAGAAGCTCACCCAGCGCTCTCTGTGCACCCTCTTCCTGCAACTTTGTGGCGAAATATGGGACACTTTTTAGCAGCTGAGGGTGCTCTATCTGGAGCTGCTTCAGCACCTCTGAGAGGTTGTGCAGTAGTGCCGCCTCGCAGTCACCAGTAACAACAGCCGCCGCCTTTTCTGCGGAAGCCACTGGTGCCTCTACTGGTGAGGAGCTTTGCTGATCACAACCATCAAGGTGCATGCTGCCTCTGCTGCCTTCTTCATCTGCAACAGCAGGCAGAGGCGGCAGAGCTACAGCTTCCTCTTTTTCCTCATCAAATGGGTTCGCTGACTTTGACGGCATTGTTGCATCTACATCTGCTGAAATTGTTGCAACTTTAGAAGGAGGCTCGTTCGCTCTTGTGGTATGATCATCTACAGGGGCAACAGCTTTTCTTTCGTGATCCTCCTTCACGGCTTCATTGCTTTGCCGCTTGCTGTGTGCTCTTGCTCCTTTGTTGCTCCTGTCACGGTGGTAGCTGCGGGCGGTCTTAAGCTTGCCGCTGCTGTTCTTCCTGCTCCTGTTCTCGTGTAAATGAAGAGACTCGGATGGCCTCCGCTGTCGGCCGCTACAATTTTCGGAGTCCCTTGTGGAGGGGCCCCTCATGGAAGCTCCAGAAGAGCGCCGCTGATCCATCGGTAGCGAAAAGTTGGCGTCTTTGTCCGAGCACTTCCTACAACTAGGCTCAGCGTTGTATGCTGCCTCCTTGTGTGGAGACAAACTGTGCAGGGAGGGGGAGTGGCTTGCAGTGACGAGGCCATGAGACGTCTCAGTGTCTAGATAGCCGCTTTGGCTGAATGCTGCAGAGTGCTTGTGGGCCTGCTGCTGATGCAGCTTGACAGGGGTTGAAAGCCCACCATTCAAGTCAGTTGAACCGAATGCTGCAAGCACCTGCAGCGCGCAAGCAGTCAAACGCAGACCCAGAGGCTTCTTGCATATCCCGCACCTCAGAATATACTGGATATCTGTGAGAGAACAAACACTGATAAGGCACCCTATACGGCTAAAATTTACGCTGTACGTGCCAGAGTCTGCAGCCGCCGAACTCCCACGACATCCAGCGCTCGACTGGCTTCTCTTGCAAAGGCTTTCGAATGCAAAGAGAGAAGAACTGTGGTCTCGAGATTGAGTTTCTGCGGCTCAGTTGGAGCTGCAGCAGTCGCAGAAGGCGAAAAATATATCTCCTGCAGTTTGCGCCGCTGCCTTTGCTGCTCGCGTAGAGCCTTCGGCAGCGGAGTTTTTACAGTGCCCAGCAACAAACACCAGAGGGTCTTCCCAGCGTAGCTTTGCACGACAAGGTAGTAGGAGTACCTGAAACAGGGAACACGGGGGATAACATGAAGCTCGGCAGATTGAAACAGAGAGAGACAACGGAGGCGTTGTTTCCCTAAATGTCTTCCCAACGATTGTACAGGCTTAATACACAGTAAAAACCGTCAGAAAATCAGGAGGAATCAGGGACTTCGGACTGTTAGAAAGGCAACAACAACAGACTTCGTCGTGCAATTAGTGAACTGTCTACGGGCGAGAAGGTAGAGCCTCAGGGTCACTTCATGTGCTTGCCCGTCGACCCGTACCAATGGTTTTGAAAACAGCAAAGTATACAGTCATAAAAAATGATTTACGTGCACGCACACTTCAATAGCAAGGAAGAGTGAAGGTCTCCCGTAGACATCAAATTGGCTGAACCCTTTGCCGAAAAGGGAGAGGCGCTGGGGTCCTGCTCGTCTCTTGCCAGGGCAGGCAATAAAAAGCCCAGAGCTCCGTTTATATATCAAAAAAAAGAAAGAAATATAAGGGGCAATTTGGAAAGACGAGATAGGGAGGAGGAAGCAACAATAACTGGTTCAGTTGGACACCGAGAGGGCCCCCATACAGCCACATTCACCAGCAGGATGACAAGTGTGGCCAGTCTCTCCAAAGACTTGTATGTGTAACTTAAACTCATTTAAGTGAATGATTAATCATATAAATGTGAAACAAAGATTATGTATCAATGGTCAGCCCGCAAGGGCGGCGGCCGAATGTCGTGACCTCATCGGCAATGTCGCGCACTGGTTCGAGTCGCGGTCGCAGATCCTTCACGGAAGGTTTCACTTCGACAAGAAAGCTTTACAAAGATAAAAATTATTATCGAAATTTGTGAATTCCATTTTCAGTGAGAAAATTAAAAGGTTATTTCCGGCTTTTTGAGCCGCTACGAGTCTTTCGAAACCAAAGTAAACAGCGGCTAACTAAATGGAACTCGATCGCACCTCCTCTCTTTCTCTTTCGCATAAGCAAGGGGACACTTTGAAGCCAAATTAACATACATGTCTCAAGGTGAACGTCGGGGCACGTCTCTTACTTGTTGGAAAAAGTTGATGGTGGCGGCTGCGTTTACATCACGTGTGAGCTTACGTGCTCTCATAAGTGGCGCATTCGACGTCATAATGGACATTTAGACGGCCAACAATGCATAACTGAGCAGCAGGCTCGTCGAAATCACCTCCGGCTATGACGACGGCGGCGCGTTGACCAGGTGTCTCCGCCAATTTGGAAAACTTGTATGCAGCAATTTGTGCGCAGAGGAGTATGAAATCCAGGAAAATTGCAACGAGAGACATTGCCAATGCCACCTTAGCAGGTCGTTTCTGCTGGGTCTTCACTGTTGGGTGTTTCACCGTACAGATAACAGCAAGTGCCCCCACAAGGGCCACCACCTGAATGCCAGAGCTCACGAGGAAGAGGCGGCTATGCCCCTTCTTGTCCCTTGCTTCATGTAGTCGAAGACAAGAGCCGAAAGGAAAATTCATGAGCAGTCGCCCACAAGCAATTGCAAGGGCCAGAAATATCATGAGGCCGGCGCATTTGCCGTATCCCCCCAGACAGAACAAACACATCGCAACTGCAAATTGCACCCCAACGTTGAAGTTTCTCAAATTTGTGGCCGAGAAGACGCAAATCTCTATCGGTTGGAAAACGAAGCTATAGAAGCTACCAAAACCCAAGTACCCGAGCGCGAGAAAACCCACGAGGAAACCCAAAAACAATAGCGACACAAACAACAAAGTTCCAGCTGCAATCACAAGCAAAGCACAGTACCTATAATAAGCATGTGCTGCCGAACGCTGCCATTGCTATTGAAGGGCTTTCTGGCGCGAATCAGCGAAACACTTTTCCTCATTTTTTGTGCGTGAGAACACGCGTAACAGTAAGCTGCGCAGAGGGAAGGAACGACTTCTGAGAACTTACTGATGCGAACGTCGGCTTCATAGAGTCTATTATTCTCAAGCTGCTTTAGCAGTTCTTCTGCGTTGGCTGTTTGCTTCACAAGGCTAATAATGCACATGGCCACAAGCACAAGAAGCTGCAGTACTAGCAGCCACAAAGCAGTGTAGCTGCCTCCGCTGCTGCTGCCGCTACCCCCTATGCGGATCCTAAGCCCAAAGAGGCAGCAGAAGAGCAGCAATATCGCATGTGGAACCCCTCGAGTACAGAGAAATATCAAAACGTATATGAATAGGGAGCCAAGAAACAGAGTGAAAATTTCCCACTTTGTAGGGAGTACCTCGACAAAGCTGTCGGTTCCACTGGTTTTATGCTGCGCCTCTTCGCCAATGCCGCTTGTGGGCAACACCTTTGATGTCCGCTGCTCTCTCCCTAACTCCCTCATGTGTCCTTCACCGCGTCCTTCTTCGCAGGGCTTTTTACAAGCTGTTGGGGTCTCTTTGCCTTCCAACATAATACCTACGGCCTCAGTAGCTTTTCTATTATCATTGTCTGCCGCTTCAGCCTTTGTAGCTGACTCAGCCTCGCTGGTTTGGCGATTACTGTGCTCAGTCACTTCAAATGGGTTTGTACCCAGCTTTTGCAACACTGTCGTGCTTTGTATAGACTCCGGTTTACGAGGAACAGCCTCCTTCAGCCCGACAGTCTCACGGTAGTCCATGGTCCGGGAGTTCTGAAGGCTTTGTCCCCCAGGTTCTGCTGCCAACACATCCGTTGGTGTTGCTTCTGATGGTTCTGCAAAGGCTGCCTGTGATACATATTTTGAAGCCATATTTGGGGTTAATTTTATAGTCGCTTCTGCCGCTGCTGGTTGTTTAAGTTTGTGCGTTGCTCTTGGAGCGACCAAGTCTGCCAACGCAGTTGTCTTATTGACTTCTATTGCCTGTGGCTCATCTGTTGCTCGCTGGAGGTTCCCTGCCTGGCCTGACTTATTTACGTGTCCATTGGAGTTGCCGGTCCCTTTCACGGCTTGTATCTGCTCCATAGGGCCTTTTTTCCTATAAGCTGCTGCCTGGAGTTCCTTGGACTTCCATGTTCTTAAGACTTGCTTGAACTCGTTGGTAGGACTGATATGAACAGGGTCGGGCATCTCTGCACCGGCTATGGAGCTTTCCTCTACATTAACTTCGGGCGTACGGGGGTTTGGAAGTGACGACAATCCTTGATGGGCAACTCTTGGCGATGCGTCCTTCTGTGTACAGTAGCCGCTCTCTGGTAAAGCATCGGCTTTCTCGGCGGCGTGGCAGGAAAATTGCTGGAAGAGAAGGTTATGCTGCAGCGCACCTTCTATCGAATGCCCTCCTGATGCTGACAAGCTCTGCTCAGACACTCCACAACAATGTGACGCCTTGCCGCCTACACAACGGTATACAGCCTTGTGAAAAGCACACAGCTGCACAGATGGGACACTCTCTTGCGTTATAGGTTGTTTGCGTCCAGGATGCTGCAGTTGTGGGTGTGCAGGAGGTGTCAATGGAATGCGAGGGATGCCATCTTGGGCTGGTTCCGGTGCTCGCTGCCTTCTCTCAATAGAAGTGAAGTAAAGCTGACGTCGACGCTCATTATCCTTTCTCTCACTCGGTATGAATTTCCGTGTTAATTTCCCGCGCAAAATACATGAGGTGGTATGTAAAGCGAGAGCACGGTAGCGCTCTAAACCCTTTCCCGCTGCCTTCACTCGAGGTTGCAGTGCCCTGGCCTTCTCACCCGTTGAAACTTCAGGAGGTTGAAGCAAACATTTAACCCGTGACCTCGCAACTTCAAGTTTCTGCCACATTTGCGGGAGCATCTTTTTACGAATTCGGTGGATTGGGCTCTGTTTTCTTGCCCCTGCAACATGGTGGGACACTCCCATTGTGAAAAAACGGCGGCGAACAGACCCGCACATCCTCTGGATCCCTTTACCAGACGACATCAAACTTAAGTGCAAACGTCGTTTGCCACTGTTGCTGCTCATTAAAGGGTTCCCTATGCCAGCTGTGTGCTGCGTGAGGCGCTGCCTCCCCTCCATGCACTTCAATGGTTTCCCTGCTAGTAACCCTCCTCTAATGGACCCCCCTGTTTCACTCTGGCGATCAACTTGAACTCCCTGGATTCCAGAATGCCTATTACAGGATGTTAGAGAATTGTCTACGGACAAAATCCTCTCGGTGGGGAACAGTTTCGTTTTCTTTTCAGAAGCACCGGCACAGCTTGCCTCTGTAGTAAAACCCCACAGCACAAACGCTACTTCGACCATGCCAAGTTGTGCTAGCTGTAGAATATGTAAAAAGCACTACATGGGCAGCCTCTGCATATTGCGTAAGTTTCGCTGCAGGAGTGGACTCGCAACTCACTGCGGTGGCATCTCCTTGAACGTAAGTCAGCACCCTGCTGCGCTCTTTCGTTGTCTTGGTTGCACACTGGACTTTTGGGATGACCAATATGCAGATCTGACTGAGGCAGTGGCAAGGCGTTTGTTCGATTTTCTTTCGAGCATGCAGGGGACGAGGACTCCTTGTGCAAGGGAGCCAGATACTTACCACTCAGCCGAGGGAGGAAGTACAGCTCATTTCCGAATTTGGATGCCTGAGCCGGGCATTCGTCATGTGTTGCGCTGCAGATGTCTCTCATTGCTACTGCAGACGTTTTCTCTGGAATCCACAGAGGGAGGCGTGCAGCGTGAGTGCTTCTTTCTGCACGGAACTTGATGATGAAGGCGCAGCGTGGAGACTATTAGGCATAATACTGCTGGGTGTCCTCCATAAATTTCTCTCAAGTAATTCTCAGCATGTCAATGAGTGAGAGAGCTAAGCAGATCTCACTTTTGTAGCATTGCAGGCACCCATGGGCACAAACGCTGTCCAGCAGACAGCTGAAACGAACTGGTCTGGACGTTGACCTTTTGGTTCTGCCAAAAACAAACAAAGAAAAGCCCTGCTGTAAAGGATTGGTGTAGGAGACTCTTATCGTAAGGAAAGAGGGTCTGCATCCGTCACTCTTGTTGAGGAACAACCACGGCCGAAACGCTCCAAAGAGTCAGCGGGGACTTTGTGCCAACGAAAACTGCCAGTTGCTACAAACAAGGCAAATGCTAAAAAAAGCTTAGTCAGCGCTTTGTTGTGAAAATTAAAAAATAGGGGGAAAAGGACTTTTTGTTGCGGTAACATCGCCCAAAGTGAGACGCGTGGGGGGCAGTCTGTTCCCACCGTGGCGTCGCGCCTCATCTACTCCTAGCATATACTCCTGTCTGCACAGCAAAATTTGCCTTTCCTTGGGGAAAATGCTTTCTTAACGGCTGCACATTTTTTTTTGCAAAGCCTCGTAGATTTAGACGTCGTTTTTTTCGTTTTTCTACGTTTACTTGCACAAGGCACAGTGGGTGTGTCTCATGAGGCCACCGGTCCCCACGGACGCAGACGGAGAGTAGGCAGCTCTTTAGCCGACTCCGATATGTTCAGGTTTACTCCACGTCACCCAAAATACCTTTTGTAGCATATTAGTGGTTTACTCATCTTCAATGGTGGGCTGCTTCTGTGTAAATCATACAGGGCTTTGGCCCCAGCGACGCTGGTTTACAGGCTGCCACTATCAATTAGTTTTGCCTGGGCGCATCGCGGCACAGTAACCCTTCCCTGATAGGACAGCATCTTCAAGACTGGAGTGTGGAAAACTGAGGTAATATCGTTTATTATCCCCGCCTGACAAGGAGCAAGTAGCAAAGCAACGTTGAAGCCCTTGTCCCAATACTGAAACGCAGTTCTCATGTTGCTCTTAGCCGTACTTAATTGATGCTCTTCGAAGAATCTTCCCTATTTTTTTGAGGAGCCGATGAAGCTTAGTAAGTTAATGCTGCTGCTGGCAGATATCGTAGGGGCGCTCCACATTCGCCCCGAAGCAGCCAACAACAGCCCCTCAGCCAAAAATAGCTTCTGTCCTTGTTCATACCGTTCCGTGTTTGCCTGCCTAGCATTGAGACGTTCAAAACTGTAGTGCACCCTATGAGTTGGAAAACTGCGCACTTTTGTGGACGCTTATCTGGAGAGTCTGTCCAGTCCCCCCGTGGATAAGCTGCACCAGAACGACTTGAGACGTTCCACCACTAGGATATGCCTGTGACCTATTTGTTCGCTAGTCGGCCAGGAAAAAGTAAGTCCGCCCTGTTTCTTGAGCTCATTACATCCAACAGGCATTATCAATTCGGCAACTTTCTCTTCAGCTCTCACCAAAGATCTAGAGCAACACGGAGATTTCTCGTGTTTACAGTCTACGACACTGTATAGAAAAATAAATGTCACGGTTATCTTGGGTTTTCCAGCTGAGCACTGCCATGAGTCCGTGCGCACGCGCAGAGTCATAAGGTATCTATTATACCGCATGCAGATTGCTATAGACTATTCGCGGTCTATCGTAACATGAAGCACGAAGCTGCATGCATCCTCGCGACACATTTTAACACTAACTGCTGAACCAGCAGGCAGTGCAGCTTTCTGCAGCAACAAAAATGCACTGACAAGTATGATATAGGTTATTTTCCTGCGTTCTTCATATTATTTGCCACCAAATATCGAGGCGATGAAGGGCTGGATAGTGGACCACGCACCAACGCCGAGGGAGAAGAGCAGCATGCCGCAGAGAAACTTCTGAGAACGCGAAAAAGGATCATAAAAGCCTTTATTAAAGACAGTGTGTTACCCGTACGGTCCGTACCCACCACGCAACTTAGCAAAAACGAGTTATTCTGCACAATGCTGAGATACGCCCTATCAAGAAAAACCAGGGAACCAGATAGCTGCGTGCAAAGAGCTGTGCGAATCACCTCAGCGGTTATTCTGCTCCAAACAAAGAACACTAACGCTCCGAAAGCTACCAGTAATCCAATCTGAGGACAAAAAGAGCCGCTAGTTCAGAATTGCGAAACAGCAGAAGACGGCAGGTCAATAATGCTACATGGGCAAGCGCTCCAAAGAAAGCCGGTACCTGGATGCCCCATCCTCCTGATTGGAAAAAAGTCCACCATGACCGTTGTTCACTTGGAAGACACCGCCTTGCGAATTCTTGTCCCGCGCAGTACTGTGGTAGCTCAGAGAAGGAAATCCGGGAGTCATCATCATTGTCATCTGGGGCGCTCTGTAATTCATCAAGCGTTTGGTAAAGGCGGGAATACAGGCCCTCCGCGCTTTCTGCTGATGCCCCAATTTCTCCCACAAAGAGAGCAGGCAGCGGAGCGATGCGAGAGCCTTCCAAATCCAATAAGAAGACAGGAGAATCATCAAGCTCTTCATACCTAAGCCTGTTAAACATAGTGTCTTTCGGCAGACCAGGTAGTGACGGCACTGCTGTAGGTTTCCCTACAGACAGTCGAACCTGAGGCAAAAGACCGAAATTTGCCTAGCCATGGCAACTCAGCTATTTAATCACTGGACATAAAATGAGACGATATGCACACAAAGACATCTCTGGCGACGTCAGAGGGCCTCTGCTCCCAGAAAGAGCTAGCATTCGACCAACTTTGAGGAGTACTCACGACTTGAACGTGAATTATTTCCTCTTCTATGTCGTCTGGCTGCTCTATGTGCAGATCATCAGGCTCCTTCGTGTCCATGCTTGGCTCCACCTCCTCACTTGCCCCTCTGTAGAAATGTATTTTTTCATACTCTTTGGCCTTCTGCACAGCGCGTTCCCATACTTTTTCCAAATTTTTCTGAGGATTGTCTGAGTAAGAGAATGACGGTAAGACAAAGGCATCTCATGTACATCAACGCTCGGAGATGATGAAGCCTGAAGAACTATACGGCAACGCATCTCCCTATTGAAACAGCATTGACATTTCTGCAGTCTTTGGCTCAACACAGAGGAACCTCGTGCTCCCGCTTTACTGCACTTTTAAGCGCATCAAAAGCGCCTGAAGGTCCTAGGTCTTCAGGCGCCAGCAAACTGACCTTCAAGGTACTTCTGCCTAGAGATGTTCAACAGGCTCTTAATGCGAGCAAGATCAAGGGTTTTTGGTGCTTGGCTTGGCTGCCCGCCAGCAATCCCTTCCTCGGTTTCTATGGCAACCAGGCAAAACACCCGTCTCTGCAGAGAACCTTTGCAGAGACTTGCACTGTTTTGCTGAAAGAGAAAAGGCTGAATGCTCTGAAGGACACATGATACAACCAGATAACACGAGAAGCCAGAAAATAAAAAGCGGCGATTTCTATCTTGACTCCGCTGCACAGAGGCCATCTTCATTTTCCTGATGCGCCAAAATGCACAAAAAAGGAGTTAGAAACGTTCAAACTAAACGCCCACACAGCCCGCTAAATCACTTGGCTTTTTTCCCTGCGCCTACCTCTTTGAAACGATCCAAAGCCAGAGCTAGAGCAGTAGACGGGTTGAGAAGCTTTGACCGGACAGTATGCAAAGTGGCTTGAATCCGGGAAATGCCTCTGCCTTCGTCAACAAAAAGCAGGATGTTCGAGCTAGACGTGAGGTCTTGTTCGCGTAGCTTCTCCGTGTGTACAGGGAGTTTCAGCGCCTTGGCTGCCGCACTGTCGGGAGGCAGTTGAGTAACCCACGTCGGCGGGTTCTCGATGACATTAACCAGCTCTTCCTTTTCGCTTGTCAGGATGGAACGTATGTTAGAAAGAAAACAAAAATTGAACAGGTGCTTGTTTGCAAACGCTGCATGCTTCACTAGGAGTGAAGGCTTGCTTGCTAAGGCAGCAGAAGGGATGATCACCGCTTTATACTGGGCAGCGAGCGGCTGGGAAGAAGCCGATGACGACAGCCAAGACTTGAGCAGCCGAGCTGAGACAGAAAGCACAAACTTCGCTATGACGGTCCAAATATCTGCCAAGAAGCACGCAGGCAACTGGTAGGACTCTCCGAAACCGTTCCGTTCAATAGGCGGGAAACGGTGAGAAAAGCTCCTCCCAAGCACTATGTATCCGTATTCGCGAGATCCCAGCACGTTTCGACGTATATTTATATAGAATAGGTCAGCAACCAACTGTTTCCTTGTCTGCTTATCAAGGCGTGTTGCAGCTCTCATCAGACAGCTGAGCATTTGCCACAGCCTTTGACCCAGGGGAGCAGCGTAACAAATTGCGTAGTGTCAGTGAGTTGCAGGTTTCCCTACCGCTATCAACAACATCAAGGCTGGAAGGGAAGGCGTCGGCGATGAAGCGGTTCAGTGACTCCACAGAAGGGCGTGAGATATTAGGATATTGCTGAACAACACGCAGGCACTGAATGACTGTTCTTGTTTGTGCATCGTCGTTTTTCTAGTCGCTATTCGTTCCTGCTACGCCGCCAACGCCGGATCCGGCTACTTATCTTTAAAGGCGCGTAAAGGCTGTTCTTGTCTCCAGACACACCTCAGGGTGCATGCCGGCCGTCAGAAGCAAAATCGCTGGGAATATTCTGAGAGCAATCAAAGGAGTACACATGGAGCTGCTATCAGAGCTGCTTGCCCAAACCCTCTCTTGGCTCGTAGTAGCCTCGAACTGACAGCTTGTGCACACAAGCTACGACGAAAACGTATGCACAAATGTACGCACTTGACGTTGATGGGTAGCTTTTTCAAGGCGTCTTTGCCTTTTCGTCCCCGGACAGAGATGACGCCAAACTTAACATACTTGCCCAGCGCCCGTGCTGATGCGAAACAGATCGCATGCATTCCAAATTAAAATCACGACAGATGCCACTTGTTGCGCCAGCGCATTCATGAAGTGAAGGCACCACTGATGAAAGGGCGATTGACCTTTGTCCCATGACGGCCGGCCAAATAAAAATTTCACAGGTGCACTGTTTAGGTGGGCCCTTCTATCCTCAAGGGGCTACGGCTGCTTCTACCTGCACTTTGCGGCCTGAGCAACTCTACGTCTTCGTCTTATCACGCCACAAAAACACCTAACGGGGAAACAGCAAGCGTGGGATGCTCACAAGACTCCTGCCACATCTCGTAGACAGACTGGCTCCAGTCATCCTTGTCTTGATGAACCTGAACAACAAAATTATACACGTCGTGCGGAGAAGAGATAGCATCCTTCAGCTCGAAGCGGCGTGAAGCCCTTGCTGCACTGTCCTTGAAGTAAGCGAGTGATAAGGAGTTGTGCAAACGCTGCATCCCATGTGCAAAGGGTGAAGCCGATAAAAAAAGCAAGGCGAAGTCTTCGTGCATTCGCTCGTTTCTCTTACCGCACACTTATACTGCACACTTAAGCTCACCATGATAGACCACACGTTCTTTGTGTCAGAGGTCGGGGGAAACACGTCGTTAGGTCCTAGGTTGGTGAAATCAACTATCCCCTGAGAAGTGACCTTCACGTTGGCATATTCTTCGCCTTCTGCGCTTTCTCCCCGTTCCCCTGCTTCGTCATCTACACTCGACTTTCGCTGTTTTCTCATCAAGTATTCGTACGCAGCTGCAATCTCTTGAAACCGTTGCTGGCAGTTAGCACCGCAGTTCGGGTAGCGGTCAGGATGCCTGCAGATCGTTCATACGCCGTCTCGTCACGTTAACTCTTCCCGGCGTCACAAACAGGTGATGACACATATAGAACTCTACTGTTACGCGCTGTGTTCGCCCACAATACGGAGTGCAAAGGCCTTGTTCACAGCAAGCAAATCACACTACTCTAGTAATCTACGCAGCGACTACCCTCATGATGGGGCGTGCACTAGCCTTGCACACCACCGAACAGAGAGAGTCCTGTATGATCTTCTAATGTCGCTTTCTGACGCTCCATCTTCCAAACCCAGAACACTGAGGTAGTGCAGTCGCTGTTCTCCGCTCACATCGCCGTCCATGCCATAGTATTCTTCGAGCGCTCTTAACACGAAAATGCCTGGCATGTCCGCGACACAGCAAACCATCACGCACTGCGCCACACCTAATACGATAAACATTCAGGAGCACGTTTCGTGTGCGACAATTTCCCCCTTTCTTCTTTCACGTCAGTCCTCATCGCCCATCAAATAGTGTATCGCTCAGCACAAGAACAAATGATCGAAGTAGCAGTCACTGCGATAACCATCGTTCATGCAAGCGCATCAGCCAGTTATTCAGCCCTACCGACGATAGCAGAAAGTACTATGATGTACACCAGCCAAGATGCAACTCGAGACCTAATATCCCTGCCGGAAATCCCCTGGAAAAACTCGGAGAAAAGAGACCCTTTGAACGCTTTCTTCTGCTTGGCGTGCATGTCTCTGTTCCGGCTGCGATCCTAACATAACAGCCACATATGCAGCAAGTGTAGCTGGTCTTGTGACCACGCGCGTAACTTCTGGCGCAACGAAAAAATATCCCTTACGGCAAACGTGCTCCAAAAAAATCACTCGTCTGCCTATTCCCCAACTGCGTTTGTAGTCTGTCTCGTCTTGATACTGTGCACACGTTCCTTGTCCACGAACATTGTGGCAGCACCGCAAACATTACGAACTCAGCAGTATAAAATATTGAGTAAATGGGTGCGCCAAGCCTCACTTCCTTTTTAGTGCGTCTCCGTTCTCTCTCTTTCCTTACTCTTTCCTGATCACCCGCTGCATTAAGAGTGTGTGCACCAGACCCCAACCTGAAGAGGACACGAATGCGACACGGATCAGCAGTGAACGTGAGCCACATAAAACAGGAAAGAACCTACAAACCAGCACTGGTAGAAGCTGGGTGTGTATGATTAACTCAATTAAGCGATCGGAACTAAACTCTTGCCCAAAGCTTGTGCTCTGCCCCCAGGTGGTACGAACTGCCGACTCGGGACGAAACCGAGATCAATATGATAGCTCACAAATTTGAGCCATCGTCAATATCTGACTCAGCAAGTGCTGCAGCCTTCGAAAAAGTATCCTTGGCCTTCTGTCCTTTCTCGTTCTGGAGACCTTTGCGACCGTTAGATTGGATGTTGCGAGAAGCCATTCGGTCTTCAGCGGCTGGTGTGCCTTTATGAATTCCTGTGTCTTCAGCTGCTGTGCCACGCCAGTGCAAGTGCTGTTGGAGGTTCGTAGGATCGCCAAAAGATTCACCCTTCCCGTGTGCCCCCACAGCCTTGCCTTTTCGCTGCCGTGTGCCCATTCTTGTCTCTTCGCTTGCCGTACAGTATATCTTTGGGATTCGGCAGCTGACACAGGTGCATATAAGCGCTTGAGGGCCTCGTAAGGCCCCTATGCTCTTGTATTCTTGCGGGTTTATAAGAGGGCCAGAACGTTCACTGTCGGTCTTGCGAGTCTAGCAGTCCGTGGTTGTCTTCGTACCGAAGCTGTTTTAGCCCACAACTAAAGCCCGAACTGTCATCTGCCAGGAAGGGGTCCTCAGCTACTGCACAACAGGTGCTCAGCCGAGAAAGGACTACAGTGCCCGAAATACTGTCGGCCGTCGGCCACGGAAGGACCACAACTGGTGCGCACGCAGCACTCGCCCTGGAAAGGGTTACAGGGAAAGACTCTCTGGGGTATACTACTTGAGCGCTACACAGTTACGGGCACTTAGAAGAACAGCAACCCCTTGGGTTACGGCCGCGCAACAGCAGGGCAAAGGACCCCGTCAATATGCCTCGGTGATTTGTGGGTTTCGCTCGGACAACATAAGACCCTGTCAGCAATCGTTCTCAGACGTGACTGTCGCTACGGTTGTTGTCAAGTAGGGACGTCTCTTTCTATACAGAATGGTATGCTCTTTGCGGTGTAAGGGCTGCAGCTACTCTGTAGGAGACGCCTCACCAAAATATCTTCAGAGCCGAAGTCCACATTCCTTCTCCAGATGCATATTGATCTCATTAAGGGAATTAATCCATGCATTAAGTTAGTTGTCGTCCACTTAGTGCATGATAATTTGTTCTATTTGTAGGCAGAGACAACTTGCTGCCCTGCGCCGAAGCAACAGGACCCTGCTGAGAGCGTGGCGGCGGCTCCGGTAATGACCTCCTCCAGCTTACGAGGCAGCATGTCGCTTAAGGCTGTCCCTTAATTTGTTGTTTTCCGTCTGTATGCTTCTTTGTGGATATTTTTTTTCGTATCAACGTTGTCCAGGCGCTGACGGTATCAAGTGAGACAAAGTCCCGCACAACAAAGAAGCCCGAAGCCATCCTCCCCATCTCACTACGCCTCATCATGGAAGAGCTGCTCAAGCTGCCTGAGTTTTCTTGGGAGGAAATCAAGAAACACACAGATGCGCAGAGCTGCTGGTGTGTCTTCCATGGCCTCGTTTACGATCTTACCAAATTCCTTAAGCTTCACCCAGGAGGCTCCCACGTCATTCTCGAAGTTGCAGGTATTCGCAATGAAACATCCCCATTGAAACCATCTCCACGTTCTTGGTGTCTTACTGCACACTCATATGTCGCTGCTGACCTTACTTAACCATAGTTCTTGCTTATTGCTTTGGACGAATCAGGTCCCGCCTTCGATTCCCATTTTCAGTCGATGAATCCCTGGCCATTCCCCCATGTAGCCTCTCTGCGAGGGGCTTGGACATTTTACATCCACAAAATCACGGGGCCTTTTGCGTGCATGTGCTATGTGGTGCCACGCTCAGGGCAAGATGCAACTGACACGTTTGAAGACATAGGACACACTTTAGAAGCACGCATCATGGCCGATGAATATATTGTTGGAAGAGTCAAGGGAGAAACTAATCTGCGCAGGTGCAAGCCGGAGAATGCGAAGGAATGCTCTGCGAACGCGGTGCGTTCTAGCACTTGCTCGAACCAGTAAAGCACAAGCTATTTACGAGGATAAGCAGATTGTGTTCGTACTTTTGTATTAAATCCTTAAGTTGCTCTAGTTTCACCTTTTCCAGTGGGCTATTTCTGTTTGCTTGCGGGCCTGCAGCCACCGCGAATGAGCAGGGGAAGCGCGTCTACGAGTCTCATCGTTGTTATGATTGTTGTTGCTTTGATCGGAATATGGGCATATTACCAATTTCAAGATGACGGCAGCACCTTGTACCAGCACTTCTCCACAGTTCCACAACAGAGAGTTTAATAATATAAGCGGCTGAGTTCAGCTGCGTGCTACGATGAGCGCAGAGCGCAATCGCAGCCCGCTCTATTGAAGTGTGGAGTTTATGGGAGAGGTACGATGGTGAAAGGCACAGGGGGCGGTCATCTGGCTGTGTGCCTTCTGCGCCCGAGCAAACAATGATACGGGCGGAAATTTTCCGCGTGACTGTCCATTTTAATGACGGATGTTTCCAATGTAGGGACCGAATGGACATGGTTCAATGTGGAGATCTACCTAACTGTACGGGCAGTGATGTTCGGATAGAGCCAACTTTTTGCTTATAGAGAAGCCGTAGCTTTAGTAATGTCAGCTTGCACAGTGGAGAGCTTCCTGCAAACTCGCAGATGCACAGTGTCGATGTGGGGTCCGTAGAAACACCGGAGCCTCTGGGCTGGGCTAAGTGGACGTGTAAATTGTGGTTTTTCAGTCCATACGCAGTTATCTGCAACAAGTCGAAGCTCCTTCGTGAGAAGATGAAACACCACGCAGTTAAGGTAGAGCTCTCCTCCAATAGTGCACAGGGCTAAACTTTTACTCGTAACTGTAGTCATACAGGTATTGCTGTCTTGGTGAGCCGGGGGAGACGGCCTACGCGAACGGCTACACGAAAAGCCAAAGAGCTGTGCATACTAAGCCATATATATAAAACGGTCTTTTGGGTTCGTCCCTCACCAATGGATTTGTGGTCCTTTCAATCTGCGCTTCACGTACGGCTTCGGCAGCAGTCACCCTATCCTCCCGCATGCCGAAGCAAAGACCTCATTTGAAAGCATAGGCCGCTCAGTTTCTCTTACCATTAAAATATGCGTACTCCAACAAAGAAAAATACACAGGGGGAAATTTGTGTAGAGGGCCATGATCGGTTACGGAATTGCATCGAAGCCTGTGGCAGCAGCCCAAACCTGCATGCTGTTTGTGAGCTTGACCCGGCAGCTGCGGTCGTACGCAAGCCATCTTAACCTGTTTATCTTAAGGAATATACCGAATGCGAATAGATATATGCGTATTTGCGAGGAAGAGAAGGACACAGCCCGGAGAGCAGAAGGCCACCAGACTAGGCCACGACGACCAGGGAACATGGCTCCCAGCTTACTTGTTCGCCAGATTACGATCTTTCTGAATTGGATTTGACTCTATTCTCCAGCTCTGAGGTGTTTACAGACATTTCCTGGACCGAGCTCCAGTATATTGGGGCCTAAGGAGGGGCATTTCTCCTTACCCACGTGGCAGCCTCACCGTGGCACTGCACGGAACATGCTGTACAAGCGCACCTTCTTTGAGTAACTAGTACTTAAACTGGGCTGACGACAGGTCTTGCTGCGCTTGTCATCACTTCCCTTCTAGCTGGCTGAGCTGGTGGCCCGTGAAGCCAGGCACGCGCTAAGCATCCTGCGTTCGCTTAGCCCCTTATTTCCTCGATTCTCGTGAAAGGGCGGGCAGAATGCCACCTTCAGATGTTGGCCGCGCTTCAAGCCGGCATGGAGACTCGTCAGTTCGTCATAGACGTAGCAGCAGGAGCCCAGAAAGCAGTGGAATCAGAGAAGGAAATCATGGTGAGGCTTCCCATCGCGGAGAGCGGAGCACTTATCACTCTAGCGGCTCCAGTAACTGCAAAGATGGAGAAGGGACAAGGTACAGAGAATCAGATGGTGGAAGAGGATCACATGATCGTTCTCACTCTACTCGGAAGCCGGTCGGCCGCATGAGGGGATGGGTGGACAGCGACAGCAGCAACAGCAGCAGCAGTAGTAGTAGTAGTAGCAGTAGTAGTAGTAGCAGTTGTAGTAGTAGTAGTGGCACTAACAGTAGTAGTAGTAGTAGTAGCAGTAATAGAGTCAGTGGTCGCAGTGACGCCAAAAACAGTAGTCGCTTCTTTGAGACGATGAGAGAGGCACGAGAAGATAAGCGTCGCTCCCGCTCCAGAGACAAAGAGTTAGAGGCAGGGAACGCCAGCCGCAGCACTGCGAGACAACGCACCAGAAGCAAAAGCAGAAGCAGGCATCGTCCTGAGGGACGAGACAGCGGCAGAAACCGCCAGGAGGAGCTAAGTCATCGGTCCTCGCGAACAGACCACCGAAAGTCAGAGAGCAGTAAGGAGCGGCATAGCAGTCCACGCACCACCAATATCAGCAGTAGAAGCAGCCAGTCCCGACGGTGCGACGGAGAAGATTCAAGACACAAAGACGGTCCTGCAGCTGATGGTAGCAGTGGCAGCGGAGTTTTTCGGAGGGAACGTCAAGAGGAGAAGGCCTCCAAACAGCAGTACCAGCAGCACAGTTCCGCAGAGAGGGAGTCCCGCCCTTCATCGAAGGCTGTCAATGGAATTGTTCCATCGAAACGCAGCCTCTCACCCTCGCAAACCAGCATCAACAGTAGCCTAAAGGACGGAACTGCTACTGCTTCTGCAGCTGGGGGGAAAGAGTGTGCTGCGGATTCTAAGCAAGAAACTGCGTCAGCAGCCAGTAAAAAGTCCACCAGCAGCGACAAGTTCAGCCGCCTAGAAAGATTCAGAGCCCTCAAGAAGCAGAAGCAACAACCGGAGCAAGAAGCATGCAGTGGAGTCGCATCGCTGGAGAAGGATGAGACAGCAACAGAAGCTGGTAGCAGCAGCAGCGGCAGCAGTAGTAGCAACGCCTTCAACGATTGGCTTCCCTCCACTCCGAACGTGAAATTCTCGGTAAGCAGCTCCAGCACGAACAAGCCCGCTGAGAACAGCAGCGCGAGCAGGTCAGCGGCAGCCAGAGAATTCGTTGCAGGGACGGCATCCGCATCAGCAGCTGCTGCTGCGGTTGCTGCTGCTCAAGCTGTTGCTTCCGCAGCGCTTGCGGCAGCAGGGCTTGCTGCTGCATCAGCTGCTGCAGTCCCTGCTTCTGAGGACAAGCAGGAGCAACGAAACGCAACAGACATCATCACTGACTCAACGCAGGTGCAGGAACAGCGCGCAACGCCACCTACAGGCGCGTCAACAGCAACAACAACCTGCGAAGTAACGCTAGGAAGTCATTCTGCAGCTGCTGCTGTTGAGGGTGGTCAGGGGACTATGAAGCCCCCAAAGCCAATGTCTCGCAACCGTCT